CTGGGGCAGGAGCAAATACCTTAATGAAAATGAAGAAATTAATATAGGGAATGAAAAAGGAAAAAGTTGAACGGAGAATGAAAGTCATAATTGAGAATATTATAGAAAAGTAAAATTGAAAGTGAAATGGGTGTGATTTGGCCTCCGTATGATTTTTAATTCTTCAACCATTTTTATTTACAATAGTAATTACATATAATGTATGTATGATCACTTCAAAGTTCTAACAATAATAAATAGTTATTTTTATAGTTGTAATTTGTTACATTTAAACTTATCTTTTCGTATCACGTCGTGCTTATTATACTCAATAGTCTCTCAAAAACATTAGGCTCAAAAAGGTCACTGATAAACTGTGTCGTGCTTGTGCCCTAGTTTAGGTCTGGTATGACTCATGAAATATTCATACTCATGTCGAACATGCCCATGTATTTCGTGCTCGTATTCATGCCATTCTAGCACGTGAAGGGCCCGGCCCAATGCCCAACTACACTTGCGACTCGTGTGTCATTTCTCCTTTCAGTTTTGATAACACAAACTTGGAGGACTTAAGAAAAAGGGTAGCGAAATAGGGTTATACCAGGGTGATCAGTCAAACATGGATACGAGGATCAAGGAGGACTGGGACGAGATACGGTGACAGATTCACAACTCACTTCATAGCCCTTGGATACGCTCTCTCTCCTGTCTCTTTTTTTTTTTTTTAAATTAACGGTTAAGATTAAAGGAAGGATATTTTTGGAAGGGTAAAAATTTACCACACCCAATCATTCACCCTACCATATAAAAAGAACAAAAACCCTAACTCCTCCATCCTCCCTCTCTCTCTCCTCCCTCTCTCCCGTAGACATCACTGTCTCTCCTCCCCCTCTCTCCGCCGCCACAGCCCTCCCACCACCGCAGCTCCCTCTTCCTCTCCCATGCCCACCGCCACCCCTGACCTCCGCCGCGCCGGCTGTCCTCACCGCCCTGCCGCGCCGCTGACCTCCCCCTCTCTCCGCCCTGCCGCGCCTACCGTCGTGCCACGCTGACCCCGCCACCATTTTTATGCCGCCACCGCGAGGTCAAGACTCTTCCCTGCCTCCCTCTTTCCTCATCCCTATTTTTTTCCAGATCTGATAGTCTCTACTGGTATCAATACCACTGGTAGCGCTATTGGTACGCTACCACTACTCACTGGTACCAATACAAGTGGCTCCCCTATCATCTGGTACCACTATCATCTATTTTTTTTTTTTTGTTATTCTCTACTGGTACCGCTACCAATGCTAGTGGTAGCGCTACCAGTGCTAGTAGCGTTGTGTTATTCTCTACTGGTAGCGTTGTACTAGTAGCGTACCACTAGTACTGGTACATTTTTTACTCGTACCGCTAGTACTAGTACATTTTTTAGCGTACTGGTAGCGTACCACTAGCACTGGTATATTAATTACCAGTAGACTAATAGATTGGTAAACTTTTTAGCGCATTGGTACATTTTTTCAGGTTGTCGGAGGGAGTGTCGGAGAGAATTCGCCGGAGAAATAGTTTGTCGGTCGATGCGGAGTGGTCGCTGGAGAAAGGAAGAGAGAGAGAGATAGATAGAGATATTAATGTATAGAATTTAAATTTTAAAAAAAAATTGTATTTAATATGGATTTTTAATTCCCAATATAATTAATACAAAGAGGTAATTAATATATTCCTTTTTTTCATACCCAAAATACCCTTGGTTGTGAATCTGACAACCCCCTTAGGGGTTGTCACCGTATCCCGTCCCAGGAGGACTACATCATGATTGTCCACACCACATTCCTGGTCTTTTTCAATTTGCAATGAAATGATTAAAACAACATATATATTGGGTAATTAATATCAACGGTCACAAAACAGTTACAAATTTCTTGTTTTGCACGATTCAGTAACACAACTTTGAATTTGTACAAAACAGTCATATCCATCCATCTCTATCCAAAAACTTAACAGATAGCTAATGATGGCTGATATGGCTTCCAACTAAGTTTGCAAAGGCCAAAAAGTCGTAGAATGCACAAAGGAAAAGAAAAATGGCCATGATGCTGAACGAGAGTCTTGTAAGCACCACACAGTTCGTCGATACCAATTTCTACTCGTGAATCTCTCAAGTTGAATGTAAAGCGCTTGTTCGTGCTATCACTAAGTTTGAAGGAGAGCAGAACTTGCTCATTGAGCTTCATCAACCAATGGCATGCCACCAATGCTTCACACAGGGAATTCGGGTGCTTCGTACTTCAACTCAGACCTCTTTTTCAATATCTTACACGAAGCAACTGTATATCGACTAACTTCGAGTTCACTATGCTTCCACCGCCACTCAGCTGACTTGTCTTTACCATAGCTTATACAGCAAGTTACCTCTTGCAAATACATTCACTTAGTTCAGACCATAATACTCTGAAGCAAGGTTGTCAACTCGCGGGTTGACCCGGACCCGGTCGAACTAGTGAGTCAAGGGTTAATGGATCACCCGTTTTAGCCCGGAAATATAGAAAGAGTCATTATATTGTACTTATCTTGATAAATTATATCAAATCTCATCTAACATATGAGTAATAACATATAACATTACACCAAAGTAACATGTCGTACTTAGATCCAGCATATAGTGAAAATTCAGACACACTTATATAACATCAATATTCAAATGTTCAACTAAGAATTTCAAAGATTGAGTTTGGTGAAAAGAAAATTCGGAAAATAGACACATTTCGCAAACCAAGGGAAAAAAAATGACACAATTTGACCTCCAACTCGATACCTTGTAGCGATCGACCCGACTGATGCGTGCGACCCGTTTTTCTCACCGGGTCAGGGTCAAAGTGGGTCAACCCGCGGGAGCTAATAGAAGTTCAGACTTCAGAGCAAGGTTGTCAACCCGCTGAAGTCTGAACTTCTATTAGCTCCTCTTACTCTTTTGCAAATCATCCTAACATTACAATTAGAAAGAGACTAGAAGAGACTCATTGCCTGAAGTAGAGAAAGAGTACGAAAAATTAAGACAGTAAAACAGGATATTTCACAAAGGTCATGATTATGTTCTTTTATGGCTACTCCTAAGCGTTCCCTGATACACCATAACATGATTTAAAATGGAGTAGGAAATACTAGGATGCAGGCATGACTACTCAGTTGCCTAACATGCAGAGCCAATCCAAATTCAACAGAGAAATAAATCAAGAACACCATTGCCGGACTCGTAAGATTATCTATTACCTCACACTGCAATGCCTGGCAAGCGATCACGAACGAGAGACAGTCAAACTTCCTTCTTTATTGCTACCTGCATCACCCTTAAAGATTAACAATAAATATCACTAGATGGGACTTTCAACAAACTCCTGCATCTCCAACAGCTAAACATTAGAGATGACGACAATTATACCATTCCACATCTCTTCCTTTGATCCAATCACCCCTTGGGAGACAAAACGGTTCCTGTGAGTATAGACAATTGTTGCTAATGTAAATTTTCATCTCTCCCTTCTCTTTTCTTGTAATTATTTTGCCCCCCAAAGGCGGAGGTACTTTACAATCATTTCCCATCAACCGAATGCCTGGCCCATTCACCCTTACAATCCAATAAAAGAACCCTAGGATTACAGGGCATCAGGCAGGTAGTATACAAATTCAAAAAAGACCCAGCATCCCAACAATGCAGTCATTCCCAACTACTTCAAATCTCGAAATGCCACGTACATCCTTCAGTTTGATTAAATGAGGAACAACATGCCCAGATGCTTTGCCTGAAGAGCCCCTTCTAGCTTTTCGAAGAGCAATTGACTACAGAACCGGAAAATAGACAAAAACAGAATGTTTGTTATGTTGCAGTCCAGCAGCTCAAAGATGTCGGACATACCCCCCTCGACCGGTGTCAGTAACAAAAGAATTCTGTAATATAAAGTCATGGTAAAGGATCCCATTTTACTGTTCTCCCAAAAGCTGATACAAGTTAACTGAAACTCCCCCACAAACTCCTCCACTGGTCAACCATTGTATCAATGAGCTGAATCTTGGTCATCACTGCTCAACTCAACTATATGTACTTTCTTACTATCAT